TTTACATGGCACTACAATTCATCAGCAGAGTTGCGACTTGGTCACAGAGCCATCCTTGCCCTAGAGGTGGGATCGTTTATAGTTGTTTGCCGTATCCGTAATATTACGGAAATCGAAAAACAATTACGGCGAACAATTATAAGATTGTTGCAGGTAACTTTTTGGCTAGCATGCCAGCAGCCATCTCTGGTCTGGGAAGATTAGTGAAAGCGTCCTTGATGATTGATGCAGTCTCGGTAAACTCCAGGACCATGCCACCCCCATCTGGAGTTCTGTTGCATCATTGTATTCTTGGGCATCGCAGGTTGGATTAGCCTTATGTACACGAGGAAGATGTGAGAATGACTGTAAAGTGTTCAAGGTAGCATGCTTCAAACCTGTAAATTTCTAATAATCAAACGTCGCATACTCAAAATGTCACTTTTTCAACAGTATGCTGCCTTGACATCTTGTAATTATATAGTAATATAATAATATTAATATTATGTATTATGAAAAGCAAAATATTATCAATGAAAACCTTGTAATTATACCAGCAAGATCTGCTCCGCGTTTTGATTTCCAATTAAAATGTTTATAATAACCAAAATAAAAAATATCAACACAAATAAAAAAAAGTACCTCTATTATTAACACGTCTTCTTTAGGAGACCCAAACCAAACCAAACCAAACCACAACACTCACGTTTTGTTACCTTGGACTCTGTCAAAAAATAAATTGTTTTTCCAAGAAAGAAAAAAAATCAATTCGCGTCTGTCCTACCAAAAAAAAAAACCAATAGGATAAATAATAATTAGTGTGTACGCATCGATCGTATCACAAAACTTTTTATTTTTAAAAACATGCCTCGTAATAATAAAAATATTGACAATAAAAGAAACAAAAAAACCAATGCTGATGAGGCTGTTGCTAGGTAAGTGTTTTAAGGATGATGGTGGTGGTTATCGCCCGCCACTCGTCGTCACTCTAGTTTATATATAAAGATTGGTGGTTATTGCAATCGTTGCCACTCGTCATCACTCTAGTTAATTATAAACTTTTTTTTTATTAGTGTAAATGACAATAAAGAAAATGAAAAAGTATTTATTTCAATGAATTATTATTTTAGTATTCAATATTGTAAACACTAATTAAACATAAAATAATCTTTATATATAATTAAAACAATCATCCTTTTTAGAATTTGAAAAGGGAGGTGGAAGAGTTGAAGTTGGAGGTGAAACGATTGAAAAAAAAATTAAAAAGTGTTGAAGGTAAATATTTCGAATGTAAATGTTTGGTTATTCTAGTTATTATAAAAAAATGTCAATCATTCACTGATATCACCAATATTAATATACAAAAAATTATTTTTCGTTAATTCTATTTCATTTATTTATTTGGTATACTTTTTAACAACTTTAGCTAATTCATGTTTTGTTCCTTTTTTTTCCTCTTTACTATTGCAGCAAGTAAGATATGAAATTATTTAATTTCTCAGCAAATGGATGATTTTTTTTATCTATTCAATCCATTCACTTCATTCTCTGGGTTTATTGTTTATCTTATTACACTTACAACAATCAAGGATTTGGTAAGATTAATTTTTGAAATGAATACTTTACATTTAAGTAATGTACATAGATTAGAGTTATGATGACTTGCAATATCTATTTCTTTCTGTAAGCAAAATCATTTATTATAAATATTAATCAAGTCATGATTATTCTCAGAGGTCAAACATAAAATCATAGATGATGAATTGAATAGCTATCTTAAACGAATTAAAGAGGGACCTTTGCCATCAGATTATTCTGGAAGAGGAAATAAAGGCTGGCCTTCTGGATAGTTTGGTGAAGATCCTTTATACTTAAATCACTGCCCAGCTTCTGCATCTGGAAATCCTATCACAATCTATCATCCAGTATTTGAAATGTTTGTGAAAGATTGCCAAACTGCTGTTCCTACACAAGAAACCTATGATCATGTTGTGGAAGTTACTGAAAGCATGTCTGATGTGTTCCGTAATGAAGATTTGCAAACAGATGAGTTTCACCATTTGCTAGAAAAGTTTAATATAACAGTCAACAGAATTGGTATTGATAAGTGCACAACAGATGGTACTGCATTGGTGGAGATGGATGTTTTTTTGTTATCAATGTTGAAGTGAAGCCTGAACTTGGGGAAGGAAATGGCTGTCTGTATATTGTGAGATAGTAAATCTTGGACCTATCAATTACCCGGCTAATATTGACCAATTAGAACGAACTTACTACGGAAGTCA